ACACCTCAAAAAGGTCCCAAGGGGCCCCCAGGAGGACCTCGGGGGGCCGAAGCCATCAAGTTGAAAACGGTGCGGCCCCCTCGCGGGCGCCCAAGAAGCCCCAAGAGGCCTCTAAGAGGCCCGCAAAAAGCCCCCTAAGAGGGCCTCAGGGGTCGGGTTTTGGGGTCGGGCGAAGCAACGTGGTGAGAAAACACGGTGTGCAAATTCCCAGCCCCCGCGGATCGCTGAGCGTTCCTCCCGCGTGCCTCCCGCGTGCCTTCGAGCGTGCCTCCCGCGTGCCTCTGGACTCACCGTGCCTCCCACCGTGCCCCCCGCGTGCCTCTCGCGTGGCTCCCGCGCGCCTCTGGACCCACCGTGCCTCCCGCGTGCCTCCGCGCGACGCCCCCGCATGCCTCCGAACCCTGTGGCAGGGGCCCAACTTGTTTCGTGGCACTGCTGTACCATCGACGTCCCCCGCAGGGCAAGTCACTGCCCGACTTTCATGTTCGCATGTTTTGTTATGTTGTCAGTAATTGCATGGTTCTTTGCGTGTGTTATTCGTGTCTGAACGCGCCTTTACGTTTTCCGTGTTTATCCGTGTCTAGTTCGAACGCCTCTAAACGTGTCTAAGCATATCCGTGTCTAAAATGCACTCGTGTCCAATTGCCCCAGTTGAAGTGTCCAAGCATGTCTAATAATGTTTAATGTTTCGACAAACGTGTTTAAACGTGTTTCAGCATATCTACATTAAAAGGCACAAAACATACAGCCACGAAACATTGTAATCCACAGCAGACGCGACGCATCAAAACAGACGCGCGCGCGCCTCGTGAAGGAGCGAGGAGTGTCAAGGAACCGCGCGGCCGGATAGACACGACACCCTCGTCTTCCAGGGTGATGACAGCCCGCCTGCAAATCTCTTGTGTATATATATATGTATATACATGTAATCCCTACCTAGGCTCTGCCTAGAAGGGTTCTTACTCTCTTAGCTTAAAGGGGCCGGGCAATGCTAAGCGCCCCGGGCGGTTTTTCCAGTCCCCTGGGAGCGGTTCCCCCCAGTCCCCTGGGAGCTTTAGCTTTAGCTTTAGCTTTAGCTTTAGCTTTAGCTTAGCTTTAGCTTAGCTTTAGCTTAGCTTTAGCTTAGCTTTAGCTTAGCTGCAGCTTAGCTTTAGCTTAGCGTTTCGCTTAGCTGTTCGCTTAGCGTTTAGCTTAGCTTTAGCTTAGCTTTAGCTTAGCTGTAGCTTAGCTTTAGCTTAGATTTAGCTTAGCTTTAGCTTAGCTTTAGCTTAGCTTTAGCTTAGCTTTAGCTTAGCTTTAGCTTAGCTTTAGCTTAGCTTCAGCTTAGCTGTAGCTTAACTTTAGCTTAGCTTTAGTTTAGCTTTAGCTTAGCTTTAGCTTAGCTTTAGCTTAGCTTTAGCTTAGCTGTAACTTAGCTTTAGCTTAGCTTTAGCTTAGCGTTACTGGTACTACTAATGCTGCTTTCCTATGGGTTCCAACTCCTAGGTAGGGTCGCACTGGGATAATATATTTATTTAATCGCTTCGCTCATTCCGCCGGCCCATACAGTCTTATGTCTGCCGTTTGCCCGAGGGCCTTGTGTCAATGCGGCGCTTTGGGGGTTCCTGGGGCCGCTTAGGGGACTCCTGGGGCGCTCGGGGGGGCATTTAGGGGGCCTCCTGGGGCCGCTTGGGGGACTCTTGGGGGCCTCCTGAGGGCCTCGTGGGGGCCTCTTGGGGCCTCTTAGGGGCCTCTTGGGGCCTCGTAGGGGCTTCTTAGGGCCGAGGGCTCGAAATGTTGTTTCGTGTTCCCTCTCTGGGGCCGCTTTGGGGGCGTTCTTGGGGCCCTCTTGGACCGTCTTGGAGGCTTCTTGGGCCGTCTTCGAGCCCTCTGGGGCCCTCTTGGGGCCCTCTTGGGGGCCTCTTGGGCCCTCTTGGGGCGATCTTGGGGGCCTCTTGGGCCGTCGTGGGGCGTCGGGGAGCCGAAAAGGTGGAAGCTCCAAAATCTTTCAAAAACCTAAGGAAAAGCAATGAATTTTGCCTCCGGGGGCCCTTTTGGGAGTGCTCTTGGAGGCCTCTTGGGGTGTCTGGGGGCCATCTTGGGCGTCTTGGAGCGATCATGGGGCATCACGGAACCCTTGTGTACCATCTTGGGAGCCTCTTCGGGGCATCTGGACCCGTCTTGAGGGTTTCGGGGACGTCTCGGAGCCCTGTTGGTGCGCTCCTGGAGCGCTCCTGGAGCGCTCTGGGGGAGTCTCCCGGGGATCGCCCGGGGATCGGTCGGGGTACTTTTCGTCCGGGGACCCCCAGGGGCCGCCCCGCGCGCGCGAACTAGGGATACTGTTAACCAGTTACCGGAGACCTTAGCACGCCTCTGGCCCGTTGGGCCGGCGAATTTACCTGTGTGGCACATGCACGGCGCCGCTCAGTGGGGCCACGGCATGGGGCTGGCCGGGGCTGGGGCGCCGGGGCCAGGACTCGAGCTGCGGCCCCCTGGGCCGGGCCGCGCCCGGGCCCGAGGCCTGGGCCGGAGCGGGGGCCGGGGGCCGGGGCCCGCGCGGGGGCCTTGGGCGCGGGGGGGGGGGGAAACGCGTATTTGGGTCCCAGACCCCCTCGCGTTGTGAAAAAAATATCCCGGCAAAGCAACCTAACAGCGATGTGTAGAAGCATATCTGAAAGCATTCCCCTTAAGATTCAGATGAAAATCCAGTTGTAGAATTCTGCTGTTCTCGCAGTCGTAGTCGCATTCGCGATGACAGTCGCAGCGGCAACGGCAGTCGCAGTCACAGCCTCAGCCTCAGCCTGCCTCAGCCTCAGCCTCAGCCTGCCTCAGCCTCAGCCTGCCTCAGCCTCAGCCTCAGCCTCAGCCTGCTTCAGCCTCAGCCTCAGTCTGCCTTCAGCCTCGGCCTCAGCCTCAGCCTGCCTCAGCCTCAGCCTGCATCAGCCTCAGCCTCAGCCTCAGCCTGCCTCAGCATCAGCCTGCCTCAGCCTCAGCCTCAGCCTCAGCCTCAGCCTCAGCCTCAGCCTCAGCCTCAGCCTCAGCCTCAGCCTCAGTCTGCCTTCAGCCTCGGCCTCAGCCTCAGCCTCAGCCTCAGCCTGCCTCAGCCTCAGCATCAGCCTGCCTCAGCATTCAAAATGTGGCCCAGGAATGGAGTTCTGGGAACTAGAAGAACACGAAGTGGCCTACAGTTGGCTCCGGGCATTCAAAATCATGCCCAGGAATGGAGTTCTGGGAACTCGAAGAGCACGAAGTGGCCTACAGTTGGCTCCGGGCATCCAAAATGTGGCCCGGGAATGGAGTTCTGGGAAATCGAAGAGACGAAGTGGCCTACAGTTGGCTCCGGGCATCCAAAATGTGGCCCGGGAATGGAGTTCTGGGAAGTCGAAGAGCACGAAGTGGCCTACAGTTGGCTCCGGGCATCCAAAATGTGGCCCGGGAATGGAGTTCTGGGAGCACCAAGAGCGATTTTGCGAGGATGTCCCAAGCGATTTCGGCTTCGGCGGCAGCCTCGGCGGCAGCCTGTCCGGGTCCCGCCCAGACCCCCCTGAGGAGTCATGATGCTCTTTTTTGAAACCAATGGAAACCTATCAGCAAGAGCTGTTAGGTAATCACGACGGGAGGTTTTTCCTAATTTTCGGCCTCCGGGGGCCCGTACCGGGCCTCGGGGCCGTCAAAAAACGACTCAGGATGCAAAACCGGTCCCGGGGAAGGAGTCCAGACCTCTGGGGGTCGACGTTGTGAAAAAATCACGACGTCGGGGGTCTGGGAACCCGTCGGGGGCCCCCGGGCCCGGGACCCCCCTGCCTGGGCGCGGGAAAGGGATCAAACGGAAGGGTTTCCCTTCGATTCCACTCCGACGTTGTTCAATTTCGCTGTGGACGGCGCGCGCGAGGAAGAGG